TTTTTTTGGGGGGGGGGGCGGAGAAGAACACGAAGCTCTACTTCACAAGTGACTGCAATATTCAAGACCAATGCGGATATGAACTTGGTACAGTAAATAGATACAAGCTGGAATGACAAAACGTCTGATGCGAAATGACAAACCAACTTTGCGCGCAGCCTGAGCTATAGAACGGGACCACAAATAAGAAGAAGTTATAGGTAATCCAAGAAGGGAAACAGAATTTGTGGAGTGCAGTTGGGTGGAATTTAAAGAGAAGTCTAGTAGGGCGGAGCCAGGTGGGTTGGAAGCATTGAATGAAACGTGGTTGACATCTATGAAGGTGGACCACTTGCTCCAGTGGGCGACCGTATTTACCCAAAACTCTACGCCTGACCTCAGCATTGCACATCCGGCTACCCCACCAGATTCGTGCAATGCTGCGTAGACAGCGGTGTTCAAACACGGACAGTCTATCTTTATCCTGTTTTCTTAATCGCCGAGTTTCTGCACCGTATAGCAGAACTGGCCGAACTGTCGCGGTATACACTCGACCCTTCACAGACAGCCGGATGTCGCGACGGCGCCACAGATGTTTCAAGTTACCAAATGTCAACCGAGCCTTCTGTATGCGAGCTGACACTTCATTCGTGATGCGTCCACCGGGTGAGATGTAGCTGCCCAAATAACAAAACTTATCCACCTCCTCTATTACTTCCCCAGTTAGGGTGAGAGTGGGTGCTGGATCAACCCAATCTTGTAGTAGCATTTTCCACTTTGAAGGTGCAAAATGCATACCGAACATAGCTACACTAGCACTCAAACTATCCAGAAAAGCTTGCAACTTACCTGGATGGGGGGACATGAAGAGTTGTGTGGTAGGAGAGTGGCATCGTCGGTAAAAGAATAGATTGGGTTGATATTAGGCTGGGTATGCGCTGCTCGGGTTAAGCGATAGTCTATTTCATTGTGACCCGGTTCAATACCATACACATCTCGGTACTCGGATTCTAATTTGTCAATCAGCAATAAGTGAACTGTGGGATCACATGGCTATGTAGTCCCTAGTGCACCGTTTTCTGTTGTTCAGCAAGCCAAGGTGTATGATAGAAAAAGTGAAGGACGTCGAGTGTTGACCAATGGAATGAGATTTCCCGGACGAAGGTAGTTGACTAGATCAGTTCATCCAAAAAAACAACGACCGGGAGGAACACGGAAGGAAGTAATCGATTATCAGGCAAAGGGGACACTCGTGTCTTGGTGCCAAAATGCGCACGGTTACGGTTGATTGGCTCTGAGCAGACTGTTGTATTAAATTGCATTACAGCAAGTCCAAACGTTTGCTTGTCAGCCTGGGTGATAGTTTGATTGGCCAACGGTAAAAAATCCTTTCATGCACACACACACACACATTCAGTTAGTTTACATTATACACCGCGTTTCTATTCTCACGACAGAAATAACGGGTGGTGGTGCAGTGATTTTCAGTCAGTGTCACCGGTTTCCTTTGGATCTTATGGTCCGGGATTCGAGCCTCGCCACTGCCATCCAACTGTGTTGGTAACCAGCATTGGTGCCGTTCGGTTGAATGCTTACTTTGTCCGCGAATTCTTTCAGCGGTACGGGGACACCCCATTTGAGATCACGGGTGATACATCGCGTCTTCAATCCGTCCCGAAGCCAAGTTTGTGAGATCTGGCGTGCGTTGGCGGTCCACAAACTGGAAGGATCGTTCGTGTGATGCGCGATGAATTCGGCTAGTTTGGGTTCGATCTGCCGGGAGAGAATAGAAAAGTGGACGACAAATCAACCTCGAATTTAGCATTTCCAGGACTGAGTTGATTCAATTGAAGATTAAAGTAGAAAAAAACTCCTCCAAAGTGGGATGGTGGGCAGCTTTACGACCAACAGAAAAAAAAGTTCCGGTTAGTTATTACCAACAAATTACACGAATAATTTGCATGAAAAGCAATCGCTCAAATTCTAAGCGACGGAAAGGTTTGTGATGAGGGACAGCTGTTTTATTCTGTTTGGGACTCGTCAACAGTGCATACATTTTGTGTCTCCGAGTCAGGACTCGAACCGCGAACCTTCGGGTCAGGACTTCAACCTCTAATGCTTGATCTTTCAATGAATTTAGACGGAATGAAACCCACACTCAAGACCATTAACAGCGCCTGATAACTGTGTCGATAAAAAACTGAATGGACTAATTCAAACATCCACCGTCTAAGTTGCTCTAATTTATCAGGTTCAACAATGATGTTGATCTGGTTCCAAAATTTGTGATTGTTACGGTGGGGGGGGGAATATCTTACTACAAAAAGATCTGCCACATGGGACGACATAAATTCACAAATTACGTAACCAGAAGAAAAATCTATGGGATGGAGAGGTTTTAAAGAGCATCAAAATAACTCATTTTCATAGAATTAACGAGTGTCCATGCACTAGAGAGCTGTGTAGTTGTGTCAATGCAAATGTAGTGTTACTTGGCACGTGGTTTGCACATCTAACGGATTGGGTTGAACTAGATCCTGAGTTCACCTCAACCGGGAAACTAGATAACTTGAGCTATTTATACGGTGCCGCCCGGACACTCGTTTGTTTGTCTGTGAAAGATCGATTGAACGCCACAACAGTTCGACCGCAAGTTACCATAATTTTACCGCAAAGGGGAATAACAGTGCTGGAACGGGGCATTGCTGACGAGGCAACCGGACAAGTAATGCCGAGATACAGTGCAGAAATTTAAGTAGTCCCGGTAGCGTACTGAAGAAGCAAGTGGCTGAGACATGTATTTCATTAGATAGGAGACTTCTTGGAGTACATACTTTTCGAGGCAGATAGTAAATGCCAGAAATATAAAAGTGGTCCATTTCGGGAGATTCTTATGCTAAGATGACTTAGTCCATTAGGCTGTGCGATACTTCCCGGTTGGGGATCACTCGAATCGATGGTTAGAGATCCTGAGTGATATGATTGAGTGTGGTGAACAGTGGCGTTTGTGCATCTACTCAATTTCTGCACAAATTTGAGTCAACTGCACTCCCCCCCCCCTATCTGTATCTGAATAGAGAACGCTCTCGGCGTCCTAATTCTTCACTATAGTATTCGACAGAATGAACAACCGGTAAATAGCTATCAACATCACCGCCATAATTGGGCTAGATTAATAGTTCGATAAACCGAACTAGACCGATTTGTCAATAATATCTAGGTGTGAATAAAAAAACACCGACAAGATGATATTTAGGCCTATTATAATCTCGACCGACAACGCCGTATTACCGACAAATACTCATCTCAATATAACACATCACACGGTAAATCGTTTTTTTCGATCCTCACCGACCTTGTTCGGTTCTAACCACCACCACCACCGTGGTCACGCAGACCTCCTATTCAGTGATGAAAACCGGAAACTTAAGCCCCACGAGTTGGAGTAGCGAACCGTACAAAGCGAGGTGTTGAACCGGACAACAGCGAAGCTGTCCACCACCGAAGTTGGGTGGTGGGGTTCGAACCTCGAACCGTAGGGTCCAAAGAACGCCGGTGATAGTAACTGAACTATAGCGGCACCATCATTGATCAATCGACAAGTCGTGTACAGTAAAGAAGAAACAGTCAAGGAAATTAGTCATTTAAGCTAACAGATTAGGCTTTTTATAAACTCAAATGGTTGGTGGCGTTAAAAAACATAGACAGACCACAACCAATATCATCAACAGTGCTTGGTGCCTGTGAAAAACCGAATGGGCTAATCCAAACGTTTACCATCTAAAGTGCTTGAATCATTCGCATAAAGTGATGATCGTCGACTGTGCACCTCAGGGGTAAGGGTTTGAAGTCCCGACCCGACTGATCGCGGTTCGAGTCTTGACAGGGACACAAAAAGTACGTACTGCTGACAAGTCCCAAACAGGAGAGGAAACAACTGTCCAGTGCTCTTTATTGGTTATCACAAACATTTCCACCGCATTTAAATGCATATAAACAGTGGGGAATTAACTATCTCCCAAGGAGTGAAACCCACACCGAGCGTCATTAACAGTGCCTAGGGTGTGTGAAAAACTGAGTAGCTTAATCCAAACATTCACCATCTAAATAGACAGTCCATACTTGCATTCATTCGTGCGCTAATTCATCCCAGGGATAGATTATCAGGATCACGTGTCACGCCAAATGCGGGCACACACACACACTTGAATGCGAGCGAGCAGCAACGGACCGTATCGTACCTTGGGCAGATCCAAGAACAAATGTTTCGACGACCGAACAATTGGGGAGTGGGTGCATGTTTTGCATCTGGGTTGACGCAATTCGACCGCGTTCATCAGACGACCACATTTATCGCACTGATCCCCGCGAGCATCATCATATTTGCAGAATGGGCAGATACCTTCAACAAATCGATCAGCCAGAAATCTGTCAACGGAAATCGGGCAGGAGCAACGAGTTCACAGTGTGTGATAATTTCCTTCTGGATAAAGATAAATAACAATTGGAAGGAAAAACAAAAACGATCTAAACCACTATACGAAGTTCAAACCCGTTCAAGTTTATAATCCTGTATTCTGACCTCGTTTAATTGTGTCCAGAATAATATCAAACATAATACAAATATGTACGTCTGTGGATACAGTGTGTTAGTTCTAACGAGGATTTGATCAACCGAGTTGTTTTGTGTACACGGTTGGAGTCATTTAGATTGACAGCTGATAACTGTGTTGAACATTTTGAGGATGGGTATACGAAGATTTGGAATACAGAAAACACAACCTGATCGCTCTCTCTCTTTTTCTATCCGTTCAATCAATATCAATAGTCTAAGCAGAGTGACATTGAATTCAATGTTTCTTAATGCAAAGTCCTATCCTGACGCGACACAGGAGTAGATTCCCGCATTTCATTGGAGATTAGCAGTTGCCACACACCTCAAATGAGAAAGACCTATGTATCATTGGTCGAGGAGATTCAAGGCTGCTCAATCGATTGCTCCAGGACTTCAACTGATGTGAAGAACGTTGGTTTGCTCAGGGGCATTCTTTGTCGGTTTGAATCGGTACTGTTCCCACGTTTGTTATCAGTGTATATTTGACTGTCTATAGAGTACACTATCCGATTCTGAAGCCTGTGCTGAAGTGTCTACACAAAATTAGAATCACGGTTATCAAGCTATCCTGTGGATAAGCTAGCTTATTGTATTTATCAGATTTCATATACGTTGGAGTTCAGACTGTGTGCCAAACAAATCACGGTACAACATTCTTAATAAAACGAAAGAGTTCCACGATTTGTTTGTGGGTGCGATACCACTGTCCTTGATTCATCATTGAACCGTCAACGGTTTCGAATACAGATTTTTACCTCGGGGGATTTTTCATGGCAAAAAGCAATATTATTGCACATGACAGTCTACAGACAACAGGGAAAAGGACTGACCTCGTAATCAATCACGTGCACGTCATTGTAAGAAAACAAAGAAGTAAAACCCTGAGTTATACGCTTTCAAGTGAAATCCATTATTGATCAGAAATGGATTGAAAAGATTTTATAACCGATGGAAGTATGGCGTAGAAGAATTTTTATGACAGTTTTAGTGTTTTGAACAGCAGACGAGACGGACCAGATAGTCACGAAGTCCTGTTTTTTAGTGATGGGAACCGTTGACATAAGCCCCGAGATTTGGAGTGGCGAAACACATAGATCAGGTGTGGTAATGAACCGGACGACAAAAAAGCTGCCTACCACCAAAGATGGGTGGCGATGGCGGGGCTTGAACCTCGAGCCATAGGGTCCAAAGCGCTCCCTGGTGACAGCAATTAAACTACTATACCATCAACAGAAATTTCATGCGTACGCATGGAGATCGTGACCGACCGATCACTGTCAAGCCCGTAATGGGTACAAATTTCTATGAGCATGTACGGGTAGACAGTGTAATCATGCATACACACCTTCAAACATTCAAACTCGATAGGAACTGAAAACAACAATGTCATCGCTATCGGTCTGCTGTTATATCTTTCGGTATCTTTGACCAACCAATTAGAGGATTATTACATGAACCCTCTAGCTGGAAGATGGAAGACACCCAATACGATTAGGCTCTTGGTGTGAGGTTCTGCATAACTTGTCTACACGTCACCCTACGGATCGTCAAGTGATTTCGGCCCACGCCGAAACAGCAGCTGACAACGGGAGAATGAGGTGCGATGCGGAAGACGACTGGAGGTAAGTAGCTATCTTTTCAACACCGTATCCCGGACGGTGCTAACATTTGCATATTTCGTGTAACACTTGGATCAACATTTGCAACGAATTTACAAAGTGCCTAGATCCGAAATTCGGGGCTCCAACCAGAGCCGGGTTTCACTCTGTGCCGACCTTGCGGTAAAGCACTGTGCAACAATTGTTCTAACCAGCGAAGTTTACCGGTGAATCTGTTATGGAAACACTTGCAGTCCTCTCCCTCTCCCTATGACGCTCTCGATACGCTATCATCACTCACCACACAACAGCGCATTAATAGAAAATTACCTAAGACGGTAAGCTTGAGATCATGTTTAGTTTACGCGCTTGTGTGAGACAGAGAGGGAAAGGGGAGGTTAGTCGAGCGGGTATGCCGTGTGTGTGCCACGAATGTACAAACGCAATGAGTAAGTCAAGGTGAATAAAAGTGATACCGAACATAAAAATAAGCAAGCAAGCAAATCAACCAATCAATCGAGACAAACGCGGACGAGAACACGTCCCGTGATTGGTCGAATTTGTTGAGAGAAGCCAACGCGAATCAGAAACGCACCGATAGGTTGCAACTAAAAAAATTCTAATGCATGCTTCGCTGGAGATGAATCGTTCCTTGGTTTCGTTAAAAGGGGGGAGGGAACAGGGCGAACAATATACTCACCCGTGACTTACGATTAGGGGTAGAGGGGAATTGTATCTGTCTGACAACCCCATCCTCACTCCCAACCGCACACACACGCACACACATTGATCATGTGATCCGTCTAAAAAGAGGAGTTTTTGTTGTTCCGTTAATGCGAACACAGACACAACGGCTGTCTGAGGCAAAACAACACAGTAATTGGTGGATTAGATCTGAAACACCATCAACAGCAGTAGCAACAACAACACTTCGAATGCACAGATAAGGGACAGACACTCACTTGGCACAGTGCTCACAAAACAATTGTTCTACCACGTCCTCGGAAATGAACCCATTGTTCCACAGCATGGTGAATAGTTCTTGCACAATTCTGAGTGGAAAAAGAAATCAGGTTGTGTAAATTAACAATTGTCACAACTAGGTAGAGTTTGGCAAATGACAGAAGGCAATGTATACTGTTCCCGGGTGAACTACAACAGTACTTGGACCAAAAGAGACCATAAACTAGGTGGTTAGGTGGTTCTCTGTTGAATAGTGCGCTTGTGTGATTCACACACACACACACACACAGTGCATGTCAATTGAGCCAGTAAACGTGCGCATAGCTCGTTGAATGTGCAATCCCACTTGTGTTGATGAGCTCTCTTTCTCTCTCTCTCATTCGACCTCGGGTCAAATGCCTCTATTCGCACTGGACAGTGTTACAGTGCATGATTCATGCAGTACTGTTTTGCGAGGAGGAGTGCGAGGACCATAGATATTCAACACAGCATGTGTGTGTGTGCGAAGTTGTAGTTCGCTAGTGTTGACCAAGGTGAACCGTACGGGACAGTGCTTATGACGAATGAACTTGAAGATTCAATCGGGAAGAGCGTGCACCTTGATTTGGATTGACCGTCTGACCGCTGACCCATCGAGCTATGCAAGATGCCTCTTATTACGCTCAAGATCTAATGATGCCTGAAGGGTCAGACAGTAGAGGTCAGATATAGTTCAATCGGCTAGTCCTCCAGATTGGCTAGTCAGTCGATCAAATGATAGATGAGCAACCGATCTAAGTAAATGAGTCTCAACTCCACCTCAAACTCTGCCTTGTGGTTAGGTTCTTGTCAGAACTAAAAGCTTTGAACGAGAACCCTAATCATTCTGCTGCTTAGTGGTTAGACTCCCTAGCAGTACCCGTACATCAAACTTCATCATGCATTGTGAGCTTGGGAGCCAGTAGTGAAATTCATTTAACTGTATTACGTTGTACGATGATTTAGTCTGGAAATAGGGAACGCTTAGCTTCATTGTGAATGAACGTTGCCGGAGTTCTGTTACAAACAGCTCCTTACGTCACAAGTGTTGTTCCAAATGTGCACGGCAAGCGATGTTTGGCGAGGCAGGTAGCGGTTGGAAAAAAAAATGAAGGGCGGTCCAGCTAAGACCTGGCATGAGGGTATGAAGGCCCTGACCAGAAGACTGGCTCACATCGGTCCCGTTAGGCTCCCTGGCTGGGTACCCAGAGATCATGGTCACCGATGGTTAGAGACACTTAGCGGTATGGTTGGGTGTCTCAAACATTGGCGCTCATGCATTTACTCATTATTCTTGTAACTTCAGTCTATGAAAATATGCTAACTTCAGCTTAAATCGGTTCTCATTGTTCTAATGACAATTCTGCTGTTTTATCCAAATGGGCAACGAAAACTGGCGCACGGAAGTGCATGGTTAATGGTTGTAAGAACTGAATTGAACTGAACGTTGCTCCAAATGTGCACGTATTACTCGAGGTATTGACAGCAGAGTAGAATCCACTTGACTTCAGTATGAACAGTATCGGATCTCTGTATCGTTTGGATTATGGAACCATCGTAAAATGAATGGTACAGTTTTCAGACATATCCTGCTCGACTCTACTTTCAACCTTCCTGTCTTTCTCCCACTGCTTCACTCAAATGGGGGCAGCCAAAAAACAGCAAACGAAACAAAACCCGATGGAGTGCATGGTTAATGATTGTATAGACTGAACTGAACTACAAATACAAATACCAAACAAGACTGGTTTCGGTGATTTATTGATCGGTTAGCCAAAGTACATTTCAAAATGAACAAATGTAGAAAAATGACCAACTGTTTTCAATCAGGCAGAGACAAATGGATTGAAAATCTCAAGAGTACTATTATCTAAATTCATCGGACAGTGAATTTTGAGAGCGAGTTTGAGAGAAAGATGATCGGCGTAATAGAGTGAAGTGAATTTCTCATGTCGCTGTCAAACTCACAATGTGCACAAAGTGAATGAGAAAGTACACGATGAATGGACCTAATTGGAGGGAGACGAAAAGAAAGTAAACCTCTATACTTAGCGCACAGAGTGCATAAAATCCAGCTGTCATATCCTACAATGTCTTCATACAACCAGTTACACAGTCTTTCGGACCCCGACCTGGAAGACGGGAGGCACCTACTATACCTCAACGCTCTGAGCAATGCACCATGCAGCTGTTGACCTCCATGTGGTTTCCCCTACCTGGAGACGCAACTGCGAATAAGACGCGGTGTGATAAACAATAGCTGGGTATGAGCAATTCCTGCCCTAACCAGCGAGGCATACTACTGATCTGCATTCTATGTGATAACAAACTTTCCACCAAATCACTACCAAACACGCGACGTGGGAGAAGTATTATAGATTATACAGTTCATTATGCAAACGGTGTTTAAACACCGCTGTCTACGCAGTATTGCACGAATCTGGTAGGGAAATTAGACAAGCAATGCTGAGATTACGCAAGTGGTCGACCTCCGTAGATCACGTTGGTTGGGGACATGTGTCAGCCATGTCACCAAATAGGTTGCCACCGCGAGCGATGTTCGCCGTGGTCAAGCTAAGACCTGGCACGAGGGTATGAAAGCCATAACCAGGAAACTGGGTCACAGATCCCTGGATGGGGACCTCGGGATGATCGTAACCGATGGTTAGAGACACTAAGTGATATGTCTGCGTCATAAACAGTGGCGTTCGTGCGTCTTCTCAATTTCTTTGCAAACATTAGACCACTGAAATTTTCCATTTTCTGTTCGATTCTACCTTTAACCTTCCTGTCTTTTTCAGACTGTGTTATCCAAATGGGCAGCCGAAAGACAGCAACCAAAATCGGCGCCAGAAAGTGCATGGTTCAAGGGTTATTCAAAATGAGACTGAAATCCCAAGCACAGTTTTCAGTTCACCCAGTCGACCTTACCCTCAGGATGCACTAGATTCGAACACATCCTCCGGGGGCCATAAGTTGGTGATCTTAACCACTTGATAACCGTGATTATTGTTAGAACACACCAGTGATGTACGGTGGTGATAGGCCTCCTATGCGACAATTCAGGAGTTGGAATCAAGGCCCGTGGGTATGCCTCACTGATGAGGCTTGCTTGATAAAGAGTAAAAATCGATTTCAATGCTTCCCAATGTGTATGGCTGACTAGATGAAAGACGATAAAGAATGTTGTTCAATCAAATCCGTTTTTTTTATTTTATCGAATGTGCGAATAATTGGGTCTTTTAATTATTAGTTTTCATGCAATGAACAAAGATAGAATATCAACTAACAGGCCACATGATCTACGATACGTACCGTGGAAATTTATTTTTCGTGCAGGCCTTTGTTTTTGGGTTTTTATTCTCGGAACCAATGCGCTTACTAGTGATAAATTCAATGGTAAATCGCAACGACTGCAACGGGTGAGAAACAATTAGGTCCTCACAAGCACAGTGAGGAAATTATGGATGACAAGCACTCCAAACGTGGCAGTAGGTGATCAAATGAACACATTTCGGAATAGCACTTCAAACTGACTACGTTTCGTCGTGCCTCGTAGTTCAATCATGGTGTGATGGAAGGCAGTACAAAGAGAGTCCTGGTTAGCGACCGAAGCAAGAATGGGACTCATCCGACCAGACGCGCAGACGCAGTGGCGGGAAGTGCCTCGCGAGACAATGTTGACTGCCACCCGAAACGAGCGAATCGACAATTACAGCCCGAAAGATAATCCGCAGCTAACGGAAAAGATACCCACCGAATGCCACAACGTCGGAGTTGTCGACCAACGCACCTCGCGCCGTGATCGAGTCAAACCAGTCGGAATGGCACGCGGAAGAAGAAGCAACGTACTTGCTAAGTGCGAACCAAAACCAACAAGGAATGACCCACAGAAGGAGGCATGAATCATCGCGCCGCGCGGTTGAGAATTGACCGTATATAGTCGAACGCATGCACTGTTTTTTAATTGGATCAATAGACGTTTAGCCCAGCCAGCTCGCCTTCTCGCTACAATAGGACCTTACGTCCTGAACAACTAACTGCACGTCGCCCTTTGAGCGAAATAGTTTGGAAAAAAGTTACCAAAATGGCGAAAATAATTCCAAAAGAGTAATGATTAAAATACGCTTGCAAGACAGCGGTGGGCGATATTAGTATGAAAACTCACTCTGTATGCTTTTCCGTTGTAGTACGTCCGAAATAATCGAATTCGATATTGAACCAACGATAGATTTCACAATGCAATTGGTGATATTTGTCACAAATCTGGCGTGGAGTCAATTGCTCGGACATCGCTTTCGCCTCGGTCGCTGTGCCGTACTCATCAGTGCCACAAATAGACAGCACATTGTGCCCGGCAATCTGACAGTACGAGGCGAATGTACTCGCACTCAACGTGGACCCAATCATGTTGCCCAGATGGGGCACATTGTTCACATAGGGCAAAGCAGAAGTGATGAGAATATTTCGACAACCAGTCTCCTTGGATACGGGGATTCTGACAAGACAGATAGACGGAAGTGAAAAGACAGGGATTAAATGATTCGCTTAAAAAGCATGGTCACACAATGAACCTAAACAATGATGCTCTAGGGGAGGACCTGTTGTTCTTCATCGTTTGCGTCAAAATTGTGGGAGAGGAATGCCAAGTTGTAACGGGGGGACTGTGTCACAACGTGTACAGACACAGAGAAACAATCCTGTGTGGCGCGTATGGTTACAGTTTTTACAATCATTAACCATGCACTTTTATGCTCCGGTTTTCATGGCAGTCTTTTGATCGCCCATTTGGATAAACGCACAGAATGAAGGTTGGAATATTGAAAGCAAATTTAAGCGGAAGATGGAGAATCATGAATGGATGCACGAGCGCCACTGTTTGCGACACCCGGCCGTATCACTCAATGTCTCTAACCATCGGTGACCATTATCTCGGGGGTCCCCCAGTCAGGGAGTCTAACGGGGCCTATGTGACCCAGTCTCCTGCGGAGGGTTTTCATACCCTCATGCCAGATCTTAGCTTGACAACCCTTGATCTTTTTCTAGCCGCTACCTACCTCGGCAAACATCGCTTGCTGTGGCAATCTATCTGTTGACATGCGTAATACATGCTCCAACCACCGTAATCTATGGGGTTCAATTACTTGCTCCAGTGGACGACCGCGACTGCCTAAAATTCTACGCCTGACCTCAGCATTGCTCGTCGGGCTACCCCACCAGATTCGTGTAATGCTGTGTAAACAGCGGTGTTCGAACACCGACAATCTATTTTTATCCTGTTTTTGCATTTGCCAAATTTCTGCTCCACGGTATACACTCGGCTCTTCACTGACAGCCGGATGTCATGACGGCTGTGGCGCGTACATCAACTGTCACAAATCACAACAAACTTATAATTCCGTGGATAGGAAAGCAGTACGACAGATGATAGAGTTATGTCAGTTGGAAGTCGTATGAACTGGACTTCCGAATGGAACGGTGTGATATTAGGCAGGGTGAAAAAGTTCAATCTCGACAGCACTGATCGACTCGTGTACCAATAGATGAGACTAGTACGAGAACAAGGTCACGGATGGAAAGTATCAACTGACAATTCTCGAAGAAAATTTGACGACGAAACCTCGAATGAGTTTGTTCTCCTCGTGATTTCAGAAAATCAATTGGAAAGCCTGATTTTTTTTAGTACGGTAGAACCTTTCTCTACACACTGGGGTGATGGTGGATAGTAGTGGTTTAGTCACCATTACCGGCGTACCTTGGACTCTGTGAGTCAAGGTTCAAGCCTCGCAATCGACACCCAAATTTGGTAGTAGACAGCTTTACTGTCGCTCGGTTGAATACCACCCCTAACCTAGCGCGGAGCCTTGTGTGTTTCTTCAGCCTAAGTTACCATCACAGTGGGTCTTCGTGACTATACGGCCCGTCCCGTCGGCTGTTCATCACACACTGGTGTGTAATAAAAAAGAGCAAAGTGTAGTTGTTGCACTGAAACATCAAAATCATGAATTGGCTAGTCCGCCTTCCGGATTTAAACCCCGTAGTGAAAATGCCTGTAGTCTATTGACGGAGAAAATCGCGTGTATCCAAATTGATTCCACACTGGTTTCAATTGAGTGAAACAATTTCGAAGTTCAGACAATTCAAAGCCTGATCGGAAGCATGCTTGTGACTATTGTCGGTCAAGTTTGAATAAGAACGATATGCGTTTCGCTCAACCAAATTGGATATTTTATACCGCCAGAATCAGAATCATTGTCACACCAAAATTGATCAATCTGAATGGGGGAGGGGGAAACGTTCATGGTATCAGAATCTCTATCAGAGGTAAGCATCACTAGTGGAAATCCCGGATTCTAATTGCACAATCTGGTCAGGTGGAATCGGTGAACTGATGATCTCCGAGGGCTGAAAGTGCATGGTTAACAGTTGTATAAAATGAAACCGGAGGGCGGGAAGCTATATCAGGCACCTTCGGGGATAGATATGGTGTTAAACCGAACGATAGCAATGCCAAAGTTGATTGATGATGATAGGGATCCTTGATCAGATGGCGCGAAGGGGTGGGGAGCAAACGTTTGCAAAAGACTGAGCAGTATGTATTTAATTCAGAATGAAGGATTTTTGACCAGAGCACCAGCAGGGGCGGAGTAAACTCGGAGTCCACATTTTCACCATAAGCGATGATCTTCAAGTGTGGAAAAGAGAAGAGTAAAAATTTGCACGGCAAGTGAGCGTCATCACAAAGCTTTGGACATCATGAGTGAAAGAGATCACCTACTTTGGCAGATTATACACCGGGATTTTGAAATCTGTACATGGACGAAAACCGCTGGCCGCATGTTGCTGGTCCTCCGCACTGACCGCAATCGTCACTTCAGATTCCTCCGTGGAAGCCGAGGGTGGTGCAGTGGTGGGAGCTTGAACATCATGTTTCGATTTCGATGAGATTTTGCCCGGACCAGTCGATTTTGCCTTTGATTGTTTGGCACTGTTTGCTACTGGACCGTTTTCCGCGCGGACATTTGGGCCAATGGTGGGATTTCGTGTGATCTAGAAGAAGCAGCCATGGACGGGTGAGTTGTGATGCAGAAGAAGGGGAGAAACATAACAATAGTATTGTAGTGATAATATTTTCATTTTCCAACACCATTCCCCTGATACATGTAAAGACCCTATTCTGCTTTATTGCCCTCCGTTTCGAGAACTCATAGGACCTCGAACCGAACACAATTTCCGGTGAGTTGTATCGTGCGCCTTGCTCTCTGTACACATTCCACTACATACGCTCGTACTTGACTTCGTTCTCAATTCACACTTGCTCTGGGAATT